AATCAGTGGTTCAGTTTTCAACAGCAGATACCGATAGCTGCCGACCGTACGTACCCATTACCTCATCGTGCCAGATAATCGTCCTGATCAATCGGCCTGTGGCTAATCAGAATCAGCTTCAGTGGCCCAGTTTGTGAACTCTGTTTGCTCTCAGTGCGACACACAGAACAATTTACAGGAAGATAGAAGCAGTCAGGAAGCAAACAGCTGATTCTGTTTCTGCAGAAGATAATCCACAAGATGGGAAACAATCACCATGTGTTAATGTGTGTGTGAGTTACTGGGCTGAACACACGAGAGCACACGGACATATTTGACATTTAAATAAGCAAAAGAAAAGATTTCAGTTAGAGAAACGAACGAAGGTCTGAGGATCACAGGTCAGTGTGAGCCGTAATGATTCTGCTCTGCTGTCGGGTCATTATCACACAGAGACACACTGTCCCTCCTGTTTGTTACCCTCCTCCTCCTCCTCCTCCTCCTCCTCCTCCTGGCTCATTGGATCCGGTCCATGTTCCTGCATTCCAGGGCCTCCCGATCGCTTTTGTTTTATTCATGTCCCGTTTCTATCGAGGTCACGTTTAATGGAGCCGTGGGCATAAAAAACACAACTCTGGATGGGGTTTTATTGCCTCTCGGCCCGGCTAACTACCCCGGTCCCCTAATGCCAGGACTCCTCTTCCTCAGCTGGGCCCGATCCCGACCCGCCATCGCAGCTGATGTTGGAACCTCTCAGCTCCTCTTGGTGCTGGGATCGACGCTGACATAAAGCCGTAAATCAACGGGTCTGATATGGTTTTTACAGCTTTTGTCTGTTCGCTGAATATTTGCTCGCCATCGATTAGGACGACGTGTCAGCGAACGCACTCCGCAGCTTTAGAGCTAATTTATGTCTCTCCTAAAAATGATGAAAAGCAGAAAGAACAGAGATAAAAAATAACAGATTGTGTAATTAAAGAAACCTGAAGGGGCTTTTAAAACCGCCCCGACTGAGAGGAAACACACTAAAGAACAACTCGATGGAGTTAATGAACTTTTCTCTTCAGTCATCCAGGTCAGAGCCGCCTGTCAGTCACACACAGGCCCTTCTCCCAGCATGCATCTCTGCTCATCACTGACCTTGTTCTGGGGTTAATTTTATCTTTGAGGCCAACAGCGAAACAGGAACAACTGTAGAGGAACTTTGTCTAAATAAAACACAGTAAAAGGAAGTTATTTCAATCACATTAAGATTTAAACTTGTGACGCCACCTTTATGTCTCTCTGCTTTAAAATGATCTGCCTGCGTCAGCGTTGTGGTTGTCTGCCAGAAGCTGTCATACATTGACTGTTGATCCAGTCTGAAGCCACATTGTTACCATCCACTGTTTAGATCTTGGTGCTTTTTAACTCTAGATTTGAACCGGATGAAGGATTTTAGTCATCGGACGTCTGGATCTTAAGTTATCAGAGAAACAAGCTGAGCTAACGTTAGCAGCAGCTACCATTTGAATGTAGCTGTGAGCTACAGAGAGCTGCTGGAGCTTTACCTCCATAAACTAATCTACAGTAACAGATCCTCTCCTGTGGAAACAGCAAACTGCTGCCGGAGAGCGAAGCATTCAACGTTCAGTGTGATCCGACTTTATCGGGCTCCCAGCGGCGTCCTGGGATCAGCTGAGGAGGAGGTTTGTTTCATTAGACAGAGGAAGACCTCCTGTATCAGATCAGAGCCGTAATAAGAGACCAGAGCCACCTGTGATTACAGCCACTTCATAAAGACTGCCTCTGTGTGTGTGTGTGTGTGTGTGTGTGTGTGTGTGTGTGTGTGTGTGTGTGTGTGTGTGTGTGTGTGTGTGTGTGTGTGTGTGTGTGTGTGTGTGCGTGTGTGTGTGTGTGTGTGTGTGTGTGTGTGTGTGTGTGTGTGTGTGTGTGTGTGTGTGTGTGTGTGTGTGTGTGTGTGTGTGTGTGTGTGTCTGTGTGTGTGCGTGTGTGTGTGTGCGTGCGTGCGTGCGTGCGTGCGTGCGTGTGTGCACTCATTGATCAGCAGCTGGTATCAGAGAGGAGGAAACGCTCTCAGCTGGTAATTACCTGCTGAGGTTGAGTTTAACGACCTTTTGCCTCAGGACAGATAACGAGCCAGCGGCCCTGTGAGTCTGCTGCTGCCACTGAGGAGGAAGCACACAAATAAAATGAGTGTAACAATTCATTTATTCATCAGTCTGTTTGAAATCATCAATCAGAATCAATCAAATCGTTCCACACATCAGCTGCTTTGAATCAAATTGTGATTCCTGAAATACAGTTTATTAACTTTCAACAGGCTGTTTTCAGGAGACGGCCGCAGTGGGACGAGTTCACTGGAGTGGCTGTAAAATAACTGACTTAAAATACAGAAATCTACTATAATTAAAATACAGCTTTTAGTTTTACATAAAATCTTTAATAATATTTTGTCTTTTTAATGTTTACTCAAAGGTATTTACACTGTAAAACCAATGCAGCGATCTATAAATACAGGTGAACTCTGCTATAATACAAATAATCAGGCTTACATTCACAGAAGAGCTGTTATTGTTTCATTTTTCAATTTGGGGTATTTTCAGTACCAGACCTTCATCAGGTTAATAGTTCCTGACAATGAGAAACCATCTTGAATGTGGAGCAACAAAGAGCCTCCATAAATAAATAAAACCCTTTTATAATAAACACAACAAGCTCTCCCTAAATTCTAATACGCAGAATCAAAATGTACATTTGTTAAATAACAATCACATTTCTCTCACGTGTTACTGCAGATATTGTTTATGCTTCATCCTGTGAACTTTAACCTGTGCAGATCTGTCCTGTAGATAACGCTCACACTGTCTGTACTCTCGTCTGAAGGATCAGTGGGGTCACGTGGAGGAAATCGAGCTGGTCAACGATGGATCCGGTCTGGGTTTCGGCATCGTGGGAGGGAAGACGACCGGGGTGGTGGTCCGGACGCTCATCCCAAACAGCGTGGCTGACAAGGTAAGATCCCCATCTGAACCATCATCCCTCCGCCCTTCCCTCGAGCAAGGCACCAGAGTCCAGCAGCCTCAGAGGTTCAGCCGACAGCAGGAAGCTCAGCCTGCGTTTTCTTAATAAATAACAATTAAAACATCAGAACAGACAGCAGGCGGCAGCGGGACTGAAGGAGGAATTATCGCCTTGTAGAGGATTAATTAGATCAATTAGATTAATTGGACAAGATTAATTTCTCTGCAGAGTTAGAAAGAGGTTTTTAACCACCCGGCTTTTCTACAATTAAAAACTTGATTCTTGAAGTGTCTGTTTCTCCTCGTTCCTCCTCTTTATCTATCTCATTATTCTGTTTGTGTCTCCTCTCCCTCGTTCATTCTTTTACTCTCTGCTCTCTCTTCTATCTGATCTTCACTTCCTGTCTTTGCTCTCCTGTTTGTGGCTCTGCTGCAGCAGTAGTCGAGTACAGCCTCTCACACGTTCAATGTCAACAGCTCTAAATGTTTAAGTTCTAAACATCTAAGATTTTACATGGAAAGTGTCTTTCATGTTTTTCTTGTTTAAATAAGTAGTAAATGAGTAAACGATGACCTTTCCTCTGATCTGATTGGCTCTCCTGCTCCTCCTCCAATCAGGACGGGCGTCTCCGCACAGGCGACCACATCCTTCGCATCGGGGCGACGCCCACCAGCGGCCTCACCAGCGACCAGGTTGTCAAGGTGCTGCAGGGCTGCGGCAGTTATGTGACCATGCTGATCGCCAGGGACCCCCGAGGTCAGAGGTCGGCAGCCCCGCCTCCCCCACCACCTCCAAACTCCGCCCCGGTCTCCTCCTTACCGCCCCAACCCCCGGACCTGCCCCCCCAACAACGCCGGCTCAGCCAGACGGTGAGCAATCGGACTCGTTGATCGTCTCAGACCAAGTTTAGAAGTTGTTGAAAGAGTCCGAGCTGAATGAGCTACGCTGCTGAACTGTGTGTGTGTGTGTGTGTGTGTGTGTGTGTGTGTGTGTGTGTGTGTGTGTGTGTGTGTGTGTGTGTGTGTCTGTGTGTGTGTCTGTGTGTGTGTCTGTGTGTGTGTGTTTCAGCCCAACCTGGAGGGATACGAGATCCATGAGGTCGCTCTGAACAAGAAGGACGGTCAGAGCCTCGGCATCTCCATCATCGGCTACAACCCCCTGACCAGCCAAGGTAGGACGACACAGAGTTAAAGTACTTTCAGTAGGAACACACAGAAAATACCACCAACAGGACGGACACACACACACCACACACACACACACACACACACACACACACACACACACACACACACACACACACACACACACACAGAGCGATCACTCCCACGTTGAACTCTTCTTCAGTAACACGTTCTCACAGAGAAACAAATGTCTCTGTTTACCTGCAACTTCACAATAAAAGCTTCTAACTGCCTGCAGTCAACAGGGTGCTGTTACTGGGCTTTTACTGTGAAGCAGCTGTGGGAGTTTATATTTTGCAGTGTGTGTCGGAATCAGAACAGGATGTTAAAGACTTATTTGATTTCATTTGACACACAATCTCATAATCTCTCTCTCTCTCTCTCTCTCTCTCTCTCTCTCTCTCTCTCTCTCTCTCTCTCTCTGTGTCTCTCGCCCCGTCCAGACGCTGTAGGTGTGTTTGTGAAACATGTGGTTCCCGGCAGCGCCGCAGATCAGAGTGGAAACATCCGAGTCCACGACCGATTGATTGCTGTAAGTGTGTGTGTGTGTGTGTGTGTGTGTGTGTGTGTTGTTCACTGTACATTTCATAAAACATGCAACAAATGAAAGTCTAGATAAATTACAGCCCAAGCTGTTTGGCTTTTATTTTGAAGTAGCTATAGGATGATAATAATAATAATAATAATAATAATAATAATAATAATAATAATACATTCTTTATTATTGGATAGGGACAGTGCACATTAATGAACATCGATATTTAAACATCTCTGTAAACATGCCGGATTATAGCAAAGCTGCTAATTTGCATCCGTAGTCCCTAATACCTGTCTGTTTCCTCCTGATGTCCCTACCTGTCTGTCTCCTCCTGATGTGCCTACCTGTCTGTCTCTCTACAGTTGGACGGTGTCAGTGTCCACGGTCTGACCAATCACGAGGTTCTGGAGGTGATGAAGAGGACGGGTCAGACTGTCGTTCTCTCTGTGGTCAGGAAGAAACCCAGAGCCCTGGAGAGATCCCTGGATAAAGGTAGACAGACAGACAGACAGACAGTTTAGTGGGGCGTCATGTGTTACAGTACAACATGCAGTAAAGAACAAGGATCTACTCAATCTGTCAGTTAATGAATTAAATCCAGAGTTGATCTGTATTATTACAGTAATAAATCAATGAAACCTAAAATAATAAAGCAGAAAGCTGAATTAGTTTCATTAGTTGGCCTTTTTTAACAGATATAGTCAGTTGTGCGTAGTACAAATGGTCCTCATTCAGATGTGTCTCAGGCTCAAATGTGGGTTTCTGTTCCATTAAGTTGATGATGATTTTGTATTACAGCAATAATCTGGTCCAGAGAGAGAAGTTAACTCTGTGTTAAACTTATCAGAGTTCTGCTTCCTATTTCCCGTCTGAAGCCTCTGTCCTCTCACCCAGATTAAGATGACAAATCTGTTTACAACTCGGTGTAATTTTCACAAACTGTGCACAGAGAGCCAGTGATTCCTCCTCCGCTGCCGTCCGCAGAGATTAATTCGCCCGGTTCAGGGTCATTTTTTTGTCTTGCGATCGTCCCGGCGGCCTGCACTGGTCAGCCTCCAGGGCCAGAGAGAAACAAGTGATTTTTAAAAAGAAGAGGAGTGCAGGGCTCTTATCTCTTCCAGACGTCTTTTATTTTCATTACAGAGGAAACACAGAACTGGAAACCAGCTCCGGTTTCAACTTCTTCTATTCTGCAGCTCTTATCTGCACAGACTTATGATGAGCCTTCAGTTTTATAGATCACCAACAGTAATGATCAGTCAGGAGGTCAAAGGTCAGAGCACTCTTTACCTGCAGTGCGTTTACATTCAACCTCAGTGAGCCACAGCCAGGAATTAGACAGAGCCGACTTTACACAGTCTGTCCTGGGAGACACTTTCTAGCTATCAGTGCTAGAAATGGGAGGAAGTGCATATTCTTATGTCTTCTGCGTGCGTGTCTGTGTGTGTGTGCGTGTCTGTGTGTGTGTGTGTGTGGGGGTGTGTGTGTGTGTGTCAGTGGAGAGGGAGTCGTTTCGGGTGTCACTGAGGAGGTCGTTGGACATCAAGACTCGCTCGTCTGGGTTTGGGTTTACGTCGCCGATCCTCGAACCGACGTACCCGAACACAGGACAGCTAACGAGGGGTGAGGACACACACACACACACACACACACACACACACACACACACACACACACACACACACACACACACACACACACACACACACACACACACACACACACACAGTCCAGGTGAAATGAAAACATTTTATTTGAACCCTTTTAAGGTTTTATTTCTGACAAACTCTCACACAAATTGCTCTGTATTTTTCTATTAAAATCCAATCATTGTGTCTTCCTGTCAAACTAAATGGGACACGTGCTTCTGTAAGTATAAACTGATTTCAACCAATAGTATCAGACATTCACCCGTCAATCAATGTTCAACACACAGAGCGAAGATTCATTACTTAGCTAGCGTGGCTACAGGAAGACAAACTGATTGGATTTTGATGTAAAAAGTAAAAAGTAGTTGAGATTTATCATACATTGTTCAATAGGGGAACAACATAACTGAGGATGAGATGTTAAAGACTTAAAATGACATTTTAAAATGAACCTACAGTCACAGTAAACAGGATGAGGATTCATGGATGGAGCACAAACTCTGATCACACAGTCCTCAAATCTAAAACCAAGAGTATGAGCCTCCTAACTGTAGCTCCCGCAGACATGTCAGCCCAGGCATCTAACAGCACTCCTCTCTGAATTATTTCCTCTCTTTTTATTCCTCATTAGCTTTGCTAAGTGGCCAAAACGCCACGCTAACACTTAGCACGCCGCCTGCCTGCTCCTGGCCAACAGATGTAAAGTGTCCGAGCTGTCTGCCAGCCTCGCAGCGATGTATTACCCTGTTTATTCAGCCAAACGCTGCAGATTAATTGCGCTGTGAAGGCCGAGGTTAGCAATGCTAATTTAATCAGAGGCTGTTGTTGTAACACCGCCAGACCTGCTGCAAAATACCTCAACATGTGAGGAGATTTGTGAGAACATGGAGGTGTTGTTCTTGGGCTCAGTGGCGGCGGTGTCCTCCCTGGAATCAGCCTGAAGGGTCAGAGAGCGGACTGACGGCGGCTCAGGAGGTTTTCCTCAGAGAGCCGGCGTGTAATCGGCTCTGACTGTCAGTGTTTCATGTTGCTACGGTCACTCTGCTCTGGAAAACCCATTTATTCTCCTGTGATTTAAGAACCTATTGTTGCTGAGACGTTTCTGTGTGTGTGTGTGTGCAGATGCATTAAACACACACACCAATCCTCCACAGTTGAAGTTGCTTACTTTACAGTTTACATTTCAAGTCATTTAGCTTTTTTGCTTGTAACCGGTGAATTCCAATGAGCTGACCGTGAGCCCGGAGCACAGACGTAGAGAAATGTTTGTGCTGCGGCAGAACTACAGTGCAGGTTGACTGGAGCTCTGCTGCAGGGCGACCAGCGGGGTAACTTACTAAACACACGCCTGTTAGTTACCCCGCCACTTCCATGCTGTATGGAAGAAGACTGAAAGTAGAGATCAGGAAACTGTTCACTGAGCTCATCAATCAACTGACAGTCGGCTCATTTCTCCATAAGACTGAATGGTATCAGTGTTTATTGCAACCAGTGGAGCGCCCCCTGCTGGTCTTTAGAGAGAATGCAGGTATATTTCACAAACCTGGAGGCTCCGTCTGTTACATACACTGTCAGTGGTTGGTTGCTAATGTATGTGAGTAACTCACATAGGCTATACCTACAGTAAATAAATAAATAAAAGTCGTAATGTATGGCGTCTTCTGGGAACGCACCGCGATACGTGCCGCTGTGTTTTTGCCGCAGTACTACTTTCACTACATTTGCATCACTCGCAGTGTTGTTACATTACTGGAGGTTGTAGTTGATGAACTGCTGGGTTTTAATGGCTGAATTGTAATTTTACATCTGTTCCACTGCTTACACAGACTGCTCTGTATCTGTATCTGTGTGTGTGTGTGTGTGTGTGTGTGTGTGTGTGTGTGTGTGTGTGTGTATCTGTGTGTGGGTTGGCATTCATCACGTCCTGGGGACAACAAACTGTTTACACAGTCACGTCATGGGGACCTCTAACAGTATGGGGACGAAAAATGAGGTCCCCTAAAGGGAAACTCTTTTAAATGAATGCAGGAGTCTATCTGAAGGTGCCTGTGTGGTTTTTAGCTTTGGCCCATTGGGCATGTTTTCCAGTTAGTGTGTGTGTGTGAACGGGGCATGCTTGCGCCCCTTACTGTATGAGCTGGTAAGGCACTCACCGTTCCACACACACAGATCTTCCAAATATGGTATGTTACCGCCCACTTCCTGGTCCCCATTAAGAAGGATTTTAGGAGCAAACACAATTTTCAGTGTTTAAAGGGAGCATCGCAAAGGCTCTTCAATTAAAGATGTTTGTCACATAAAAAGAGGAACTACAACACCACAAGGTAAGCAATATTATCTTATTTACTTACTTGCTATAATCATTATTTGTATAGATGACCATTTTAAACCACTAATGAGGTTAATTAGTGTTAATTAGTTAGTAGGATAGCAAGTTAGCTTTAATTAGCAACAGAAGGCTAGTGTAACTAGCAAATTTACAATGTTTTACTAACAATGTTTTTAGCTTTCCCTGAAAGCTACTGTTAGTTGTTACATGATGGATGGATTCTGTGCATTTCTAGGAGTTTATACCAACTAAAAAAAGTGAAATATTTTTCAGTGTGTAACAGAGAAATTTAAAATACATTTCCAGGTAATGAATTTAGTAATATATAGAGGTGTAACTTAATCCTAGGTATATATAGGTGAGATATATTATAGAAAAATTGTAAAGAGATGTTTTGATGATTTAAAGCAAGCTGTCCATGTTAAGAGAAAGTGCATCTGGACAGGTATTTTTGGGACCTGAGCTTGACAAGGCTGCAATTTGATGTTTGTATCTTTAAAGTGACTAGTGAAGTGATTCCACATGCCTCCTCTACATAAATGGGTCCTGATTGATTTTACTACCAGAAAAAAGTAAACTTAGCTTACTTATAATTATTAATATTATTTTATTATTAAAAATGAATAATTTAGAATAGGGCATGGCAAGAAGGGAAGGCATCTGACACTGAGCCGACAGGAAAGGGCGAGTATGGGGAAAAAAGTTATAGAGCTAAGCCTCTGAACACCCACACAGTTTTTTCAGTTTATCTTGCTGATTATTAGTCTTCTTGGGACTGTATGGGTGTGTATACTGTGATTGATTGACATCTTCCTGAGTCTTCTGTCAGCTTTGTTACACCTGTTAGGGCAGGACAAAATATACCTTCACCATTCGTATTGGAGATTTAGATTTGTGACCTCATGGAGTTTCATCAAAGCTTAAGCCCACCCTAAACCTGAGCAGAGGTCTAATCAGCCATAATAACTGAAAACACCTGTGTGGATGTTCACTTAGAGCCTCTAATTGTATTGTAATAGAACTAAAGCCAAAGCTGTCTCATTAAACATTTCTCTGCAGTTTTAAATGCCACCAAGGTCAGTCCTCTTAAGGATGCCCTTCAGCATGTTCACTTCATATACATATTGAAAATGATTTTGAGACATTTAATTGCAAAACTTCAGGATGCATTAGATAAGCTTAGGTCAATAAAGCTGCCATCAAATGCACTAATAATTGGCAATTGTGTTTTTAGGACATATTGCCACAGACTAATTAACATTCGTAATGTCCTGTTTTTTTTGAAAATGTATTACTTTGTCTTACAGGACGTGGTGTATTTGCCCTATCTTCATTCTTCAAAGGAGATTTTGTACTGGAATACAGAGGAGACATGATAGATGATGCAGAATCTCAATGGAGAAGGTGCATTTATCACTCATCATGTGTTGCATTCATGCTTCATTCAAGTGGAGAGGGAGAACATGGTGGTAAGATTTTACATTACACCTAAACTATACTCCTTATGCTAAACCATAATAATCTCCTTACACTTAGCTCATAGTTAAAATGAAGGCACTGATTGTGTTGTATACAGTTGAAACCAGAAGTTTACATACACTATAAAAAGACGCATACGCTTTTTTTTCTCACTGTCGGACATGAAATCAGACAATCACTTTTCCTGTTTTAGGTCTGTTAGGATTACCAAAATTATTTCTATCTGCTAAATGCCAGAATAATGAGAGAAGGATTTTTTTAGACAATTTTTTATTACTTTCTTCAAAGTCAGAAGTTTACATACACTAAGAATACTATGCCTTTAAACAATTTGGGAAAGCCCAGATGATGATGTCATGTCTTTGGAAGCTTCTGATAGGTTTATTGACAACATTTGAGTTAATTAGAGACACACCTGTGGATGTATTTTAAGGCACACCTGAAACACACTGCTTCTTTGTGTAATATCATGGGAAAGTCAAAAGAAATCAGCCAAGATATCAGGAAGAGAATTGTGGACTTGCACAAGTCTGGTTCATCCTTGGGTGTAATTTCCAGATGCCTGAAGGTGCCATGTTCATCTGTTCAAACAATTATACGCAAGTATAAACACCATGGGAATGTCCAGCCATCATACCGCTCAGGAGACGGGTTCTGTGTCCCAGAGTTGAACGTGCTTTGGTCCGAAATGTGTATATCAACCAACAGATGATGCTGCCATCCCTCTATTTCACAGTTGGGATGGTGTTCTCAGGCTTGCAAGCTTCCCCCTTTTTCCTCCAAACTTAACGATGGTCATTATGGCCAAACAGTTTGATTTTAGTTTCGTCAGACCACAGGACATGTCTCCAAAAACTAAGGTCTTTGTCCCTGTGTGCATTTGCAAACTGTAATCTGGCTTTCCTATGTGTCTTTTGGAGTAATGGCTTCTTCCTGACAGAGTGACCTTTCAGCCCATGTCGGTACAGTACTAGTTTCACTGTGGATAAAGACACACTCTTACCAGCTTCAGCCAGCATCTTCACAAGGTCTTTTGCTTTTGTTCTTGGGTTGATATGCACATTTCGGACCAAAGCACGTTCAACTCTGGGACACAGAACCCGTCTCCTTCCTGAGTGGTATGATGGCTAGACACTGCCATGGTGTTTATACTTGCGTATAATTATTTGAACAGATGAACGTGGCACCTTCAGGCATCTGGAAATTGCACCCAAGGATGAACCAGACTTGTGCAAGTCCACAATTCTCTTCCTGATATCTTGGCTGATTTCTTTAGACTTTCCCATGATGTTACACAAAGAAGCAGTGCGTTTCAGGTGTGCCTTACAATACATCCACAGGTGTGTGTCTCTAATTAACTCAAATGTTGTCAATAAACCTATCAGAAGCTTCCAAAGACATGACATCATCATCTGGGCTTTCCCAAATTGTTTAAAGGCATAATAATCTTAGTGTATGTAAACTTCTGACTTTGAAGAAAGTAATAAAAAAATCGTTCTAAAAATCCTTCTCTCATTATTCTGGCATTTAGCAAATAGAAATAATTTTGGTAATCCTAACGGACCTAAAACAGGAAAAGTGATTGTCTAATTTCATGTCAGACAGTGAGGAAAAAAAAGCATATGTGTCTTTTTATACAGTGTATGTAAACTTCTGGTTTCAACTGTACATATGTTATGATGGTAATCTATTGTGAATCAGAAGTCCCTTGCAGTTTTATGTAATGCATCTAGAAAGCTGATGGTAATGGGATATTCAGGACAGATTTTAATGGTTGATGGAGGAGGAGGAAATATTGAATTTGATGATTTTGTCGTTGAAGTTTCGTGCCTGTTGGCTTGAACTTAACTTTAGAAATTTGACATTAAGAACATACATTAGTGTAATTAAATATTATGCAGTGATAACATCGGACTTAAACTTGTTTTTCATATTTTGAAATGTTTGCAGATGACCATGAATGCAGCTGATGCTGTCATTCCTGTGGAAAGCTCCCACCATGCTGTCTTGTTAGAGACGCAGATGACTGAAACTTTGAGTCCATGAGACACTAATCAACAGGTACATTCATGTTTAGCACTTAAACTTTACTTCTAGAATATTTCTAACTCACCGTTTGTTGCTTTTTATGCCCTTTAAGCAGGTAAATAAGCTGTTTTTTTAAATGCATCTAGAAACATAATGGTAATAGGATATTCAGGACAGATTTTAATGTTCATAGGGATGTTACTTTTGATTAAATATCACTCTATTCTGGGACATTCACGACGTCCCCATAGCACATCTTACATCAGTGTATGAATAGAAGCTGTGTGTTAAGTATCTGACAACCTAGAGACTTGGTCTAGCATTGGTCCCCATAAGGAACCACGACATGGTGTGTGATATGTCCCCACTAAGCTTGTTTATTCAATATGTGTGAAAACAGGCAGAGGTTGATGGAGGAGGAGGGAATATTGAATTTGATGATTTTGTCGTTGAAGTTTCGTGCCTGTTGGCTTGAATTTAACTTTAGAAATTTGTCATTAAGAACATGCATTAGTGTAACTAAATATTATGCAGTGATAACATCGGACTTAAACTTGTTTTTCATATTTTGAAATGTTTGCAGATGACCATGAATGCAGCTGATGCTGTCATTCCTGTGGAAAGCTCCCAGCATGCTGTCTTGTTAGAGACGCAGATGACTGAAACTTTGAGTCCATGAGACACTAATCAACAGGTACATTCATGTTTAGCACTTAAACTTTACTCCTAGAATATTTCTAACTCACCGTTTGTTGCTTTTTATGCCCTTTAAGCAGGTAAATAAGCTGTTTTTTTAAATGCATCTAGAAACATAATGGTAATAGGATATTCAGGACAGATTTTAATGTTCATAGGGATGTTACTTTTGATTAAATATCACTCTATTCTGGGACATTCACGACGTCCCCATAGCACATCTTACATCAGTGTATGAATAGAAACTGTGTGTTAAGTATCTGACAACCTAGAGACTTGGTCTAGCATTGGTCCCCATAAGGAACCACGACATGGTGTGTGATATGTCCCCACTAAGCTTGTTTATTCAATATGTGTGAAAACAGGCAGAGGTTGATGGAGGAGGAGGGAATATTGAATTTGATGATTTTGTCGTTGAAGTTTCGTGCCTGTTGGCTTGAATTTAACTTTAGAAATTTGTCATTAAGAACATGCATTAGTGTAACTAAATATTATGCAGTGATAACATCAGACTTAAACTTGTTTTTCATATTTTGAAATGTTTGCAGATGACCATGAATGCAGCTGATGCTGTCATTCCTGTGGAAAGCTCCCAGCATGCTGTCTTGTTAGAGACGCAGATGACTGAAACTTTGAGTCCATGAGACACTAATCAACAGGTACATTCATGTTTAGCACTTAAACTTTACTCCTAGAATATTTCTAACTCACCGTTTGTTGCTTTTTATGCCCTTTAAGCAGGTAAATAAGCTGTTTTTTTAAATGCATCTAGAAACATAATGGTAATAGGATATTCAGGACAGATTTTAATGTTCATAGGGATGTTACTTTTGATAAAATATCACTCTATTCTGGGACATTCACGACGTCCCCATAGCACATCTTACATCAGTGTATGAATAGAAACTGTGTGTTAAGTATCTGACAACCTAGAGACTTGGTCTAGCATTGGTCCCCATAAGGAACCACGACATGGTGTGTGATATGTCCCCACTAAGCTTGTTTATTCAATATGTGTGAAAACAGGCAGAGGTTGATGGAGGAGGAGGGAATATTGAATTTGATGATTTTGTCGTTGAAGTTTCGTGCCTGTTGGCTTGAATTTAACTTTAGAAATTTGTCATTAAGAACATGCATTAGTGTAACTAAATATTATGCAGTGATAACATCGGACTTAAACTTGTTTTTCATATTTTGAAATGTTTGCAGATGACCATGAATGCAGCTGATGCTGTCATTCCTGTGGAAAGCTCCCAGCATGCTGTCTTGTTAGAGACGCAGATGACTGAAACTTTGAGTCCATGAGACACTAATCAACAGGTACATTCATGTTTAGCACTTAAACTTTACTCCTAGAATATTTCTAACTCACCGTTTGTTGCTTTTTATGCCCTTTAAGCAGGTAAATAAGCTGTTTTTTTAAATGCATCTAGAAACATAATGGTAATAGGATATTCAGGACAGATTTTAATGTTCATAGGGATGTTACTTTTGATAAAATATCACTCTATTCTGGGACATTCACGACGTCCCCATAGCACATCTTACATTATTGTATGAATAGAAACTGTGTGTTAAGTATCTGACAACCTAGAGACTTGGTCTAGCATTGGTCCCCATAAGGAACCACGACATGGTGTGTGATATGTCCCCACTAAGCTTGTTTATTCAATATGTGTGAAAACAGGCAGAGGTTGATGGAGGAGGAGGGAATATTGAATTTGATGATTTTGTCGTTGAAGTTTCGTGCCTGTTGGCTTGAATTTAACTTTAGAAATTTGTCATTAAGAACATGCATTAGTGTAACTAAATATTATGCAGTGATAACATCGGACTTAAACTTGTTTTTCATATTTTGAAATGTTTGCAGATGACCATGAATGCAGTTGATGCTGTCATTCCTGTGGAAAGCTCCCAGCATGCTGTCTTGTTAGAGACGCAGATGACTGAAACTTTGAGTCCATGAGACACTAATCAACAGGTACATTCAAATAAATACTAAGCAGCGATTACATCAAATTGAACACTTGTTTTTCATATTTATGTTTACAATTACAATATTTTAGATGTAGTTATATTTTAAGGCTGTCTTTCAAACGTAAAAAAAAGTCAATGTTTTGCCTAAACTTACAAATCGCAAATGTTGTAAATTTGATTTGTCCTAATTATTCAGATTCATTTTCAAGGTATATTTTTGTGACAGCACAAACGGTGTGTTTGCAGACAAAGGAATATTATCTATGTTCAGAAGTATAAACATTCACCAAGTCAGACTTCAGTTTCAAAATATTTTCTTGTGTTTAGACTTTTGCTGTTTTTAGGACCATTTGTTAACATCACTACTCCAAATATTTAAGTGTGTGAGAAAAGTATAATATAACATTTGCAATTAAGTGGTTGATTAACACTGTAGGAATTTTAAACAATTTTAATTGTATTGTCATAATATAGTACACTGGGATTGTGTTCAGTTCCAAGGATATTTGTCTAAGTAACTTCTTTTTGTCCTTAGATGAAAGGCACAGATGTTGAAGATTCAAATGAAGTATCCGACTCTATACAAGTTTGTATTGTTGCTTTCAGTTTTGTCTTGAGAGAACGCAAATGAGCAGGACTCAATAAAAAGTTTAAATGTATAATTTAAATGAGAGTTTGACTTCTTGAACTAAGGAAATTATTTTTTACTATGAAGTAATGCAGCAAACAACACAGACAAACGTGAATACTAGTTTTAGGGTTGTTGAGTATTCTGTGACTGAGAAGTACAATATTCCACAGTTTCTGGGTAGTTGACTGTGGTTAAAAATAAGAACCATGTGAGACGTAAACGAAGAAAAACCCTTACAGTGAAATTAAGGTTGAAAAGTTTGATGGGTGAGACAACAATTTAGTAATTCACTACTAAATTCTTGGTACTTAAGTGACCCCTGATATCAAGATTAAGTTAGAACAATGTCTCTAGTATAAATGATATGTAAATCATTTGATTCCCATTTTATTTGTATAACAAATTGTATGTTTACCCTGTTTTCGCTATAAATAAAAACTAAAAAAGTATATTGGTTCTGGAATAAATAATGTTATTGTGTTATGTACAGTACTTTTGTGCAGTTTGGTTTACAATGTGGAATTGTGATTCACAACAGTATCCAACCCTACTTAAGACTCCTCTTATATTACCACAAACCACGAGCACAGTAGTTCTTAAAGCTTAAAATACACATTTTCTTTAGTGAAAATATCCTAATGACACACTTTCTGCATTAATTTTGGTGCTGCTAAAGTAGATTATATCATTTGCATTATTGTGGTTTAATTCTAGTATTTGGTCTGATGCCTGTGGATAGCAGCTTGATAACTTTATGAAAAATCTATTATTAAAGACATAACCTGGTTGGTAGAGGACAGCTCCATTGCAGCTTCATAGCAGTTTACAGTACGAAGGAATCACAAAGTGGTTATATTATGCACTGCCATTGTTGTAGTGAACCTTGTGATCAAAAGAAGACAGGTAAAATGCAATAATCTGAGGATTATATCACTTAAGCTTGTTGTTTTACCATGGTCCCCATTAATCAATTGGAAATCTGTGTAAATTATGCAAATTATATTTAAATGAGGTCCCCCACAAACATGTTTACTGGATTTTACATAGGTCCCCAGTTAGCATGATGAAAACCTTACTTCATCAATTCAGATATTTGAAGTCGTGTATGAGCTAACCAACCAATGGTGAGTGTGCCTGATTTTTTTCATACCTCTAGAACCTCTAGAAAGGGTGGTCCCCGCAAGTGATGATCAGAAATTTGGTCCCCATTGCAAATGGTAACCAGTATGTGTGTGTGTGTGTGTGTGTGTGTGTGTGTGTGTGTGTGTGTGTGTGTGTGTGTGTGTATCTGTGTGTGTGTGTGTGTGTGTGTGTGTGTGTGTGTGTGTGTGTGTGTGTGTGTGTGTGTGTGTGTGTGTGTGTGTGTGTGTGTGTGTGTGTGTGTGTGTGTGTGTATCTGTATCTGTGTGTGTGTGTGTGTGTGTGTGTGTGTGTGTGTGTGTGTGTGTGTGTGTGTGTGTGTGTGTGTGTGTGTGTGTGTGTGTGTGTGTGTGTGTGTGTGTGTGTGTGTATCTGTATCTGTGTGTGTGTGTGTGTGTGTGTGTGTGTGTGTGTGTGTGTGCAGCTACAGATGCTGAACTGAGGGATAAATGGGAGGCGGCTCTGGGACCACAGTACCAGGTTCTGGTAAGAAACACAATGTTACCCGTTTCCAGTGATACTCTTCATCGTGTCACACTGCTGACTTCAGTATGATATATTATATTTGTAAACATTGTCTCTGTATTATTTCGTCTTTATGTCTGTTGCTCTGTGTAATGTGTCTGTCTGTTGCTCTGTGTAATGTGTCTGTCTGTTGCTCTGTGTAATGTGTCTGTCTGTTGCTCTGTGTAATGTGTCTGTCTGTTGCTGTGTGTAATGTGTCTGTCTGTTGCTCTGTGTAATGTGTCTGTCTGTTGCTCTGTGTAATGTGTCTGTCTGTTGCTCTGTGTAATGTGTCTGTCTGTTGCTGTGTGTAATGTGTCTGTCTGTTGCTCTGTGTAATGTGTCTGTCTGTTGCTCTGTGTAATGTGTCTGTCTGTTGCTCTGTGTAATGTGTCTGTCTGTTGCTCTGTGTAATGTGTCGTCAGGTGGTGAAGTTGGATCCTGTCATTGAAGACGATGCAGAGCTGCAGAAATCCTCCAAGGTGAGAAAACATGAGACCTGTAAACTGTAAGCACTGACTCAAATAAGCCCCGCCCCTTTTTGTACTGTACTTAGCTATGCTATACGCTAGGCTAATGTATGTTGAAAAGACATTTTGAAGATTTAAAAGATAGAAGAGCAGAACACTAGTATTTTATGTTTTATTTAAACTACATCCTCCAACATGCCTCTACAGCGGACTCAACATCTGAACATTATAACGCTCATGAAGGAGGATGTATTAGTCTGAGTTGGACCTTCTGTAATAAAGAATCTTTATAATCTGTATTTCATCCTGTCCTGTATGGTTGCGTACAGCTGCTGCCCATCCACACTCTGCGTCTTGGCGTCGAGCTCGACTCGTTTGATGGTCACCACTACATCTCCTCAGTGGCCCCTGGGGGCCCTGTGGACAAACATGGACTCTTGAGACCAGAGGACGAGCTCCTGGAGGTAATCACTCACACAGACACACACTGTGAACTATGTGCAGCTACTACGGGATGTTAGACTAGTTTTTGGAGATGTTACATGTCAAATAGCTCCAATGCTAACTGTTACTAAAACCACAATATCTATTGATAAATGAGCCAACAGGCTGACAGTTCTCCTAACATTACTACTTTATTCTCATATTAGTATGACACAATATTTAAATGTATGAAATCATGATTTGAGTGGATTGTTACATTGGTACTTCTGACATATTAAAATCTCCATATGGAGTCCCACAAGGCTCAAATCTGGGTGAACTACTTTTTGGTGCAGTATTGATCTTTACTGTTGATCTTTACTGCCTTACAGTTCTATTAAAACTGCCTCAATGTATGGATGACACTAATATCTGGTCAACAAATGCCAGTTAAGAGTCTTTTATTAGTAATTTTTCCTTGACTCAAGTCCAGTATTAAACTGTAGTGTGTTCACACACATACTGGCACTATTCCTGTCTCCTTTAGTCAGTCATCGTCTGTTGTTTTGGGCTGAAAATGGCCTTTTTGTGCGTGTTGTGACAACTCATTGACACTTTTCATGTGGTGCAAAATCTGAATTACAAATTAATTAAATTGGTTTTATGTATACTCTACCACAATATGAACCACACCATGAACCACACCATGAACCATACCATGAACCACACCATGAACCACACCATGAACCACACCATGAACCACACCATGAACCACACCATGAACCACACCATGAACCACACCATGAACCACACCATGAACCACACCATTCTCCCGCTGAATCTGGGACGTTAAAAACACATGACAGACGTAAAAGAAATCATTGCAAATTAACAGATTAAAACACTGAGCTGTTGTTTTTCTCTGTGTCACAGGAACTGTGTATTTTTAAGTAAAAATTGAATGTTTGTTTGTTTGTGTGCAGGTGAATGATGTCCAGCTGTACGGTAAGACCCGCCGGGAAGCAGTGTCGTTCCTCAAAGAAGTGCCTCCTCCGTTCACGCTGGTCTGTTGCCGGCACCCGACCTCCGACCTGGAGCCAGAACCAGAATCTGAATCTGACCTGGAGCCTGAACCCGCACTGCGACCTGGACATGAACCTGGAACTGGACCAGTACCAGTAAGACAGTCCCAACCCAGTGTGGAGGAGGTGAGAACATGAAGGATCACATTATGTTTGAATTATTCGTTATGATCATATCGTCTCAATGTGTCTTGTTTGTTCAGATCGAGCTGAAGCTGTCGTCGATACTCTGCAGTCAGACAGAACAGAGAGAGAACGCCATTGAGCAGCAGCTAGCAGCTAGACAGGTAACCTGTCTCACTCTGTCTCTGCGGTTTCACTGCACACACACACACACACAAATCAGACATTACAGGGAAGTGAAAATATTTGGTAAATAAATAAATTATACCTGTGAACATTTTTATTGTTTAAATTTCCAAAAGATAAAACCTGAATATTTTAAAGGAAGTTTTCTGCATTTATTTGAGAATAACATTTTGAAACTTTGATGTGAGTGGAATAGCTCATAACAATGTGTTTTTACTTTGCTGTAGTTTTCATATTATAAATATAAAGAATTATAACATTAATGATGAATGAAAATAATGAAACTGCTGTTTTTTGGTCTGAATTTTGGATATTTGATTGTACTTTGAAGAGTGTGTGGTTACTTGTGTGTGTCAGGAGCCGGTATCCCCTGTAGAGGAGGTGCTGAAGACTCGACACAGCCAGGAAGAAGAAGAAGAGGAGGAGGAGCAGCAGGAGGAACAGGATGAAGAAGATGAGGATGAAGGGGAGCTCGCTCTGTGGTCTCCAGACGTTCAGGTGTTGGAGCTGCAGAAGGAGAGAGACAAAGGCCTCGGCTTCAGCATTCTGGATTACCAGGTATCTGTCTGTCTGTCTGTCTGTCTGTCTGTCTGTCTGTCTCTTTTTCCATTTATGATTCTAATAGTACATTTACTTACTAATATTCAGTACTTTAGTACAAATTAGAGGCACTTGTACTTTAATAAAAGTATTTTACTAAAAGTAAAACTATACCATTAAAGTGTTTGGAGGTGTTTGGATTCACCTGTCGATGTGTTTGCAGGACGTTGGTCCTGAATGTGAGGATGTTGATTAAATGAGTAGATTGTGGAGTTTAGCTTTCTTTTATTTACTTCCATGTTAAAAGTTTTTCCTGATATATGTTTTAAGGACACACCAACCCGATTATCGGCTGTCAGGCGAGGTCGGTGACTCGAGTCGGTTCGGTGTGTCCCGTGCTGTCGTCCGTCGGCGTCGGAGTCGGCGTCAGCGTTCAAACCGGAAGTGACGATGGTAAACATACTACCAACGCCAGTATCTTGGTGTTATTATTAGCCATCGTATTTTCCGTTCAGCGAGTAATGACAATAACGATCCTTCTTGACTACTATCAACACTCTCTGATGAAAACAGTGACTGACGACAGCGTGCTCTGTGTTTACTAGGTCTACAGTGATCCGTCATTTCCGGTTTTCATTTTTTTTGGGCGACAACACAGATTAGCTCCGCCTGCTGTTATGGGGACGTATTACGCCTCGCTCACGCACAGAACGTACGCTCCAGGTTTGGTGTGTTCGGAGGCACTTTTTTGACCGACAGACGGGAGCCGACTGATCAGTCCGACTGCTTTTCTGCCGACGGTCGGCTGTCGAGTTGGTGTGTCCTGGCCTTTGTAGGGGAATTCCATTCAGATAGTCGAGTTAACTGATTAATAATTGCTGAACTTTTCATTGGTCAGATATTCACAGGAAAATAAAAACGGTGTCAGACAGGAGCTGCGCCTTGTCAAAGGGCTGGTTGTTGCAGCACGGACCTTTTCTCTCCTAACACAGTGCTGCTGCATGTGCTAACTGCTACTGAGCTGTTCCCGCTCGCTAGAGCTCAAAGTACCAGTGGAGGTTTGTTTACACCACAAGCCTCAGACTGCTGAGGGGCGGGGCAACAGAGCCCGGGCTGAGACCAACATCTCAGGGCTAAACACACAGGTTAATGGAAATGTTATCCATCATCCATTGTATCAATAAGTTGATTTTTATGAATTTGGTAATAATGTGAATATTAGCAGCAGCATTGATGTGTTTCAGTAAAGAACAGTCAGATAGTTCAGGTCACAGCTCCAAAAGAACGTTTGAAGGTTTTGGAGGACCTCGTTAAACTGATCAGAGATGAGTAAGATCGCAGTCAGTTGAGGTGGATCAGAATATTTCCTGGATTAATCCTCTGGGTGGAGAACAGATGATCTGACTTTAATCATCAGTGTAGTTTCTGAAAGATTTCCCGTTCACAATCTTGGCCGTCGTGGGGAGTAAATTTGGGAAACCCTGTTGTGTTTTTCTCCCCCACGCTGCTACAGCTCTTTATCTCTAGGCTCAGCTTCACCTCCAAGACCTCTGCCTCCTCTTCCTCTCCTCCTCCCTCCTCCTCCCTCCTCCTCCTCAGTCAGACCCAGCTGAGGCGGTGGAGGGGGAGCTCCGGGTTAACTCCCTGTTGGTGTACATCCATGTCAGCCTGCACATACAGCATCTGCCCCCGGGTGTGTGTGTGTGTGTGTGTGTGTGTGTGTGTGTGTGTTTGCGTGTGTGTTGAAAATCATTATTTTTCTTTAGGAAACAATATTTGAACTACATGATAAGAAATGAACACTTAAACTTAATTTACATGTCAGATGGAATAATGTATATTGAGCCCTGTGTGTGTGTGTGTGTGTGTGTGTGTGTGTGGTGTGTGTGTGTGTGTGTGTGTGTGTGTGTGAACTCTGACCCCTGTAGCAGTAAAGAATAAATAATCTTTACAGAAACGACACAAACGAAGAATGAAAATCAGTTTATTGCTGAAAGAACAGAAAGAAAGTTTTGTAAATAAAATCTGTAATCGGTTAGAGATTGATTGATTGATTGATTGATAAGATGGCAGGTTAGGGTGATAGTATTATGATAATAACACCCGTCACTTTATAGATTCGATATTCACAAACTGATGAAGATATAATAAAGTTCTAAAAAAGTGTTTTAATGATTCAGACTCCACATTAATGTCGTAAGCTGCTGGCTCTAATCTGCAGCACAGATCAATCAATATTATCAATCATTAATATTATTCATAGTAAAGTCACAACAGTCAGCTGAACGATCAATAACAATAAATAAATTCAACTATAGTCCATCACCCCAGGAGTGATCTCCTCCCTCCTCTCCTCCTCCCTCCTCTCCTCATCTCCTCATCAGAATATCTTAACTTTAAGGTTATTGTTGGGAACTTCTGTGGCTTTAATGGCGGTTTCTGCTTCATGAGACATTAAAATCTCATTAATAACAGAGTGTAATTGTTCAGCACGGAGCCACAGTTCATTAAAGGTCGGTCAGTGCTCTGACTGATGCGCTGACGTAGTTCTGATCTTAGTTCTGCAGTTTGAATCTAAACCAGCAGCCGCTCAGTCGTTGCTTTACTTTCCCCAACAGTTTCTGAAGGCAGGGTATGGAGGCGTGCTGCAGTTGACCTCTGACCTCTGTTGGAGGACGATCATACAGTATCACAGAGGTCAGGATCAGGGTTTTGGCGGCAGACAGTCTGGCAGACTCAGTCTAAGTGTCAGGGGCCTCCGGGGGGCCTCCAGGGGGCCTGGTGGCCCTGGTGGCCTCCTAATTGGGATAAGTTTGTTGTTCAGCAGCTTTGAGGCCCAGTATGATAGTCTTCTACCAGCTTTCAGTCTGAGGTGGTTTCACTGGAAACAGGAGCAGACACACAGACGACCTCCCCAATGTGATTTAATCCGCTCACGTTTAGAGTTTTCTGTGTGAAAATTTTAATTCTGCCAAAAAAGTTGAATGTTCCCAACCCGGAGGCTCTTCCAGTCCTGCATGGGGATAAAATACAGACAGACAGACGGACATATAGATGGATGGATGGTTGTAGGAGGAGGTAGTCAGGACATGTTGTAGAGTTGTAGAGCTGAGTTGTTGGCTGAAAGCCCAGGTTCAACTTTAACAAACGGATGTCCAGAACCTGAGCAGGTGGACCAAGCCTCAGGTTTAAGATTGTGTTTTACTATTATTATATTAGAATATTAGAATTCTTATATGAGTTATTGAGGTTTCTGCTGCCGCCTAAATACTAAGAAAGTTCAGCATTGAAAAACCTTTTTGAAATGATCCCTCCTTTGTTGTTTACTACTTCTGGTGTGCTATTTGTATTTACTTGTGAAATAACATTTCAAATAACAAAATTTGTTCCTGAACTGTCCCCACTTTCTGAAAGTTTAACGTCGTCCGCATAGGAGCCACTAGAAATACTTTCTTAAACCTAAATGAGAAATACAGAATGGAGGAGCCCCCAAATATGTTATATTGTTCCCCTATTTATTTTATATTTTTATATAAAATCCAGTAATTGTGTCTTCCTGTAAAACTAAATGTGATGCGTGCTTACGTCAGCATGAAGTAACTGATTTCAACCAATAATATCCTGACATTCACCCGTCAATCAATCTTTAACTTTTAGCGCCACAAAGCGAAGTATCATCAGTTAGCTAGCTAGCAAACACATTATTCTGTATTCTTCTATTTATGGAGTTTCAGATGGACTTATTCCTAAAACAAGCTAACTGTTGCCAACAGTAATGTTAAATGCTGTTAGCACGTGCAGCTAATGTTAGCTGAGTGAGCCCCGGGGTGCCAGGAGCCAAAACCGGCAATAAAACCATCTCAGTACTTTATCCTCTTTCGTCAGATTGTCCTCCGTCAGCATCAGATGCTACAGCTACTGGACTGGGGGGTCGTAGCACACAGCGTCCCTCCCTAACTGCCTGTTTTTTATTTGAAATACGTAAATTTGAGGAAGCAAACAGCTCACTGATTTCTGTTTCACCTGGACTTTAATTACAGGTTAGTAAAATACAATAAATAAAGTGAGAACAAATGATTTAAAAGTAAATGTGCATCAGTGAAAAGCAGAAACGATCTCTGACTCTCCTCTGAGTGAAACCGACCTTTCAACAATTCTCACAAAATAAAATGATTCTACTTTTCTCACAAATCTTCAGTGTCTCCTCTCTCTCTCTCTCTCTCTCTCTCTCTCTCTCTCTCTCTCTCTCTCTCTCTCTCTCTCTCTCTCCCTCCCTCTACATCTCTCGCCCAAGGGCATGTCGGCGCAGTGTTGCTGCCAAAGTGTTTCCTGTTACTGACTCTCCGGCTGTCAGAGTTGAGTGAAAGATGGTTGGAGGCAATAAGAGAAGAGCCGATCTGATCTGTCTGTCTGGACTCGGGCTGATAGTTTCCACTAAAAACTGACACCTTTAAAATGTGAGCACTGTCACACCTGAGAAATGTCTTCTCTCCAAACATTTTGTTCATATCTGAATGGAAAAACCTCTGGAGTGCATGTTGTCTATCCCACGCTAAAGCAGAGATATACTGATCGATTGGAATTGATCAAACTGTATCAGATCCATCATGCTTAAAGGAAGTGACGGTATCAGCATTTTATCATCAAAATGTCAAAGCAACCTCTCGGGTATTGAATTTTATAAAATATGCAGTTGAATACATTTATACAGGTACACTGTTAAAAAAAGTTAAAACATGGTAATATACAGGCAGCTGGAACACCAAGAAATACTGTAAAATAACAAAGTAACTGACTCGTAAAAATACAGTAAGTTTCTTTAATTAATCTTTAACTTTAATTTCACATAAAATCTGGTGTTATATTTTGTCTTTAATTTTTAATTAAAGATGTTTACTGTAAAAACAATGCGATGAGCTATAAATCCAGGTGAACTCTGCTATAATACAAATTACCAGGCTAACATTTACAGCAGAGTGCTGTTATTATTGAGTTTTAATTATTTTAATCTGAATGTT